GAGATTCTTTTTACCAAGTGAACTTTTCTCTGGGCTTGTGATATTAACGATACTTGGATTGCTGGGGGAAGAAATTGTCATTCACGGAAACTATTTTCTTAGACGGCCATCTCTATGATTGATCTAACTTTTTATATAGAATTTTCTGGAAATTAGAGTCTTTCGCTAGCTCAATTCTTTTAGTCCCATGACCCAACTGAAAGCAGATCCAAGCTGCTTGATGGGCTCCACAGGCCGTTCGCTTATTTCCTCTGTAATTTTCTGTTTTATGGACGTGCGATTCACTTGAGGAGAGCCATAATTACATTATTTATGCATATTCCGAGATCTCAGCATGGCATTATTCAGGACTCCCTTCGCCTACCTAAATGATGAAAAATTAGTTGCCAACATGAGCACCTTCATGTACACGATGAATGAGTACATAATCAGCAAAGGACGAATACATAGATAGCATAACATCTATGACATCTATATATTGCATTTTATTCTGCTTTCCACTTGATTGATCCTGAGTTAAAATTGCAGCTCAATTCTGGTAGATTTTTACAATCCGCTTAATATTACCTTTGCTTCTTGCTCACTAAATTTGAATTGTAATCCATATGAATTATTCTTTATCCTTGCCTTGTTTTGCTCTTAGAATTTCTTCTTTCTCTCTGCCAGTCCTTTTTTATATCTTCTGTTTTTCATATGATGCTTATCGCTTCATTCTTCATTCGACTTCTTTTTTTCTCTGCGTTATTAACACATACCTGCCCTTTGAACATCGAATTTTATTACTTTCCTATCTTTCTTCACGCTTTGATGCGATTTTGAAATAACTAACAATTCCCCTTATTATTTTGTTAGGAGTTCATTTGGTCTCTTTTCTTCTTTTTTCTCATGGCTTTAAGAGCCCCCAAATCGACCCCTCTGGCAAAAATTCACACCCAGCTTGCGCGGCATCCAAGCCGAATGGCTCTCTCCTGGTACCAGGCGACTGGACGCCCCAATTCTCTGGTTCCACCTCAACTGGACCAACATTTACTCTGCAGAACGAGACGCCGTTCGGCTAGCGCCTGATGTCCGAACTTTTTACCTCTCCAATCTGACTTGCGCAACGGCCATCAAGTTCCAGCTGAAAGCGGAGAATAAAGTGGGCAACAGTTCTCTTACCGAGCTGATGACGGCAACTACACTCGGAAAAGGTTGGGGCAGAAGATATTCATGCTGCATGTAGCCGCTCATTTTATAGTGCCAATAAATCTAAATATTGGGCTCTTGGTGGGTTTTTCAAGCGGTCAATTTTTGCCGT